CTTTCGAGCGCCCTCCAGACGAACACACCATAGAACATTATTGGCTTAACTACGGTTTCGTAGAGCCAGAACACCACCTTAGGTGAGCGTCCCCACCTTTTCCCTATAGCCCCTTTGCAGAAGTATAAGGCGACCGATGCCTTCTTAACTCCCTCCTCAATGTTTGGCCTCCAGCAAAGTTTTCTATCGAGGATAAGCTCTAGGTGTTTCGCTTTATTAACAGGTTGAAGAAGTGAACCTACGAAGGAGGGGAGAGGCACATTTGGGATCTTATACCTCCTAGTAAATAAAACCATTTCGGTTTTACTTGGGTTGACGGCTAGGCCGCTTCTATTCGCCCTCGAGTTCTATAAATGAGGTCGTTTACCACCAATATCCAGAGCAGTGGGGAGAGTAGTCCCCCCTGCGGAGTTCCCCTATTCACTTTTCTGGTTGTCTTGGCACCACCCCACTCCGCTGCGACAGTTCTGTCGCAAATAAGACTAAAAATAAGGTGCTTGAGGTTCGATTCCACCTCAAACTTTTCGAAGGCTTTAACCACTGCCTCTGGTCGCACATTGTTGAAGGCTCCCTCGATGTCGAGAAAGGTACCCACAGCAAATTCCTTGTGCTTGAGAGCTATCTCCAGCCATGACACTACAACATGCAAAGCAGTGTCGATCGACCTGCCTTTGATATAGGCATGCTGCGTAAGGTGACGATCGTCCAGAAGGTCCAAGAAGGCTGTACAGCCGTCCTGCAGCTCCCCCAGTGGCACTTCTTCAGCAGAGTGATTTAGTGGAAAATGAGCATCCAGGAGTAGTTTCAACATTGTCCAACTACTATCTGCATTTTTTAGATATCCCACTGGAGTAGGATTTTGTGCGAAAATGCGCCTGAACCGTGAGGACTCATGACAGCCCTCTATACTATCGCAGAAGGCTCTCCGCGAAGCGCTCTTAGCTTTCTTCAACTCGGACTTGTAAATGGCCAGTCCGGCCTTGTACAACGCCCAGTCGTCACTAGAGCCACTTTTACGGGCTTTGTTGAAAAGCCTTCTGCTCGAAGATCTGATCTTCGTTAGCTCCGAAGTCCACCAAGGGGAAGAGGCAGCGGGCCATCAACCCCGGCTTTAGTTGGGTGAATCCTAAGGACGACCCTCTTGAAGCCATAACTTATGACCCCCTTTGCAATGCTGAGAGGAGCGAGGGACTCCTTGTTTAGGAGTATCAGCGCTCGCCGATATGGCTCCTCGGTCTTCTCCAGCCAAACCAACTTCTAGTCTTGGGTGGGAAGAAATGGATTGCAGTACCGGGGTTGTCTCAGTTACGAGGCCAAGGCGAGGATTGGCGCACGCCCTTATAAGGCAGTGCGTTCAGAGCCGACCAGCGCAAAGAAGGAGTCATCTCAACAAACACCTACCATACCAACTTAATGATGACAGGAGGGGAACGTACTCTGAGGCCTGCCATGGTTTTAACGGTACGGAGCCGGCCTTAGCATTAGCCCATCAGCCATTTCTGCAGGGTGTCACCCCTGCATACTCAGGTGACAGAATACAGAATCAGTGCTTCCCCTAGCCCTCATATACCTAATAGAAAGATTTTCGAACTGACTTTATACCGAATATATCGGAAAATATGTGAAATATCTTAATAAAATTGAGAGAGTGTGTTTGTTTAATAACGATATAATGGATAAAAACTTACCCTAAACCCCATTTAACTAATATCAGATTTTCAAACAACTATTGTAGTTGACTTTACTTCATATATATTGGTGATGATATGAGAGGTACCATAATGAAACTCAGAGAGCATCTTTTTCTGTTAATAATAAGTATTGTAGTAATACTATCCCTATCTCCCATATACCCAAAATAACATTTTCTAACTTCCGGTTGGCTTTTACCGTATATACAAGGTACAATTCAAAAGTTCCAGGACTTTTTAAACAATGCGGCTTCTAGTGGCGCCATCTGTCTGAAATTGCTATCCCTCAATTGTGCATTCTTCAGTGTTGTCGTATAAAATTTATATAACAGCTGAGATATCGCGCTACATGTGACATTACATTTGTAGTGTCGGTCGGAAAATGAGCATCGAACAAAGAGCCAACATTAAGTTTTGTTTCAAAATTGGTAAAACTTTTACCAAAACTCACTCAAATGATGAAACAAGTTTATGGCGATGATTGTCTATCCCGTAGCCGTATTCACGAGTGGTTTCAACGTTTTCAAAGTGGTCGTGAGGACATAAATGAGAAATGAGCCGAAACCCAAAAAATCGCGACTGGAGAAGTCAAAAGTGAAGACAATGCTGATTTGTTTTTATGATTCCAAGGGTATTGTCCACAAAGAATTTGTTCCACCCGGCCAAAACGTTAATAAGGTATTCTACTTTGGAGTTTTGAAGCGTTTGGTGCGCCGTATTCGACGTGTTCGGCCCGAATATCACGAAGATGGAAGTTGGCGTTAGTTGCACGATAATGCGCCGTCTCTTCGATCGACGCTTGTGGCCGATTATTTGGCCAAAAATCACATTTAAACAATCCCCGTATTCACCTGATATGGCACCGTGCGACTTCTACCTTTTCGGAAAAATGCATTTGCCGATGAAAGGAAACCGCTATGCTGACGTTGATGCCATCCTCAACGCTATACCGACAAATGACCTAAAAAAGTCATTCGATAACATTCTTGAACGTGCAAAACGTTGTATTCAGGCGGAAGGGGTCTATTTTGAAGGCGACCAATAAATTTTTCAAAAAAAAAAAACAAATAATATTCGTTTTTTAATAAAAGTCCTGAAACTTTTGAATTGCACGTATTGGCCAATATGTAAAATATCTTATCAAAATTAACTGAGCGTATAATATTGGATATACTATAGTTTACTCCCATATGGTATATACGTATAATAATCCTCGTTATTCTAAGAAACCTTATGCCGAATATGTCGGTAAGTGTATGCGTTATATATTTGTAAAATTGCCTAAAAATATGCTCCCTAATATACCTGAGTAATGTCAAAAGTTTGTGTAATCAGCCCAGACTTTTCCTGCCCCCAATATACCCTATATAGTGATATAATATATATATAATATGTTTAATCAATTCTGATCTTCTGGTTGACGTTTTGCACATCTAACATATGCAATATATTGATTAAATTTAGTCTCTTCGGTTGAGTATGTATATCACAAATTTCTTTTTGAGGATGATTTTAATATAATTTTCGCAGACGGCAAGTAAAATATAGATATTAAAAAGATATTGTTTTTTTTTTATTAAATATGTTATTTTGTTTTATGTTTTCTGATTTTTGTAATGTAAAATTAATATAAGATTTAAAAATAAACAAGAGCAAATCTTACAAAATCATTGATAGTGTCATGAATTGTGCCCACAAATGTATCCAAAACCGATCTTATATCTAAGGCAACAAAACAACTGTACACCAGTGTAATTTACCAAACTTGATTAGAACAAACAAATGTGCGTATACTTACATATAGACATTCCTACTTTCGTATTTACTTACACTTCCAAAAAAAAGTCTGCTATCAATAAAAACTTGCGGGAAATCTGGATACATCAGTTCAAAATAACTATTTATTCAATGGCAATAGTCCTTTTAAAACTTTCATTAGCATTTGAGAAAACTATAACTAAAAAATAAAAAAGGCACAACAATAAGAAAACTCATCAGAAAAAGTCCGCGTACAAAGAGCAATATTAAAATGGTAAATATTGCAAATCATTTGTTTTTTAACTTAATAACTCGTTGGAGCTGCTTTTACTTCTGCTAAACGCCTTGGCATTGATTCGACGAGTTTTGAAGTTTCCATCACTGGAGATTTTGCAGATATGCTAATAGGCTTAAGATCTGGTGATTGGGATGGAGTTCACAACTATTTAGGCACATTGTATAGCAATCAAAGCCTTACAATTTCAGCAGTATACATAGGATCATTGTCCTGCTGGAATTTGTAATCGTTACTTAGACTAATTTCTCGGCACTTTGTTTCAAATTGGCTTTTAAAATGTTAAAATACCAACTCGACCACTTTAAACCAAATTGATAATTAATAATATTACATATCCTTACATTCCTTTGTTACAGTGCGAAAATGGGTGAAATGAAACGAAAACTACGCCTACTTCCCATATAAGACTGATTCTTTTACTTACCAGTATACCAGAGCACAAATGAATATATCGGGATACAACTTTGCACAAATAAAAGGTACTATTTAGGTATTCCATATCGAGTCTAAAAAATGTCAAATCGGATCATAATTGTTCAAGCCCCAGATACCGACGATGTGGACCCCACTGCCAATGGCAGACTTTTCACTAAAAATATAGGTTAAAGTGTGAGATATATAATTGAAATTCGGGGAGAATACTTTCCTGATAAATATTATACTATTATCAGGAAAGTATTCTCCGTATGGTAAGAATGGGTGGAATCGGGTCAGTGCTTCCCTTATCCTCCATAGAAAGATTTTCGAACTTCCGGCTGACTTTATATTGCATATTATGGCCAATATGTGAGTTATCTTAATAAAATCAAGTGCGCTTGTTTTACTAGAAATTGTACGTCTTTATGCCGAAAATGCATAAAATCGGGTGTAAACTTGCCCTCGCCCCTATATAACTAATATCAGGATTTCCAAACATCCGGTTGTCTTTATTCCTTATAGGTATATTGGTTATGGTATCTCAAGCACCTTAATCTAACCTAGTCAAAAATCACGTTTCTGTTAATAATATGTAGTAATGTCAAAAATTCATAAAATCGGGTCCACCCTTATATAATTTTTTAATGAAATTATGTGGACAAGCTTTCTTAAAAATTATGTGGTTTAGCATACTGATATCATAAATGTGTAAGTATGTTTGTTACGCTAAAACCACGTAACCAATCATCACGAAAATTTATTAACATGTTACTAATGGTACTAGAAAGGATACTTATTAAAAAAAGGAGATTTTTTACGAATTAATAAAATATCTTTTTTGGGAGATTTGAATATTGCTAAAGATATTTCAAAAAAATTTTATTATTATGTTGTTTGTTGAAAAATATTCAAATTAATCAAAAGAAAAAATGTCACGAAAAGATAAATCAAATCTATCCAGAAATTCATCACGGGATTATGCAGCAATCAATTAAGGAAGCGATCTTCAATCTGCGTAATAATGGTAGACCCTAAATGAAATACCAACATATCAAGCAGGAAGATTTGTAAGTAGCAATGAAGCAGCGTGGAGGCTTCTTTGATTTCCATTACATAAAAGATATCCAACTGTTTCACATCTTACAGTACATTTATAAAACGGATATCATGTTGAACAAGAATTCATTTAAAGAAAGGATATTATGTTTTCAACACCACACTGATTGCATTTTTTAAACTTTGTCAGAACGATCCTTTCGCAAGCATATTATTGTAAATGCATTCTGTAATTATACGTGGAACATATTAAAAAAAGAATGGCATCGTCGTGTTCTTGGTATACCTGTTCAAAATCATCCTGGCGTTAAAGCATCAGACGCTCTTGGTAGTGTCTACACGAAATATTTTACAAATTTTACTACATCATGTTCGAGGTCCTTAACGCTTTGTAGAGCTTACATTTTTCAATTGTTAAGAATGTAAAACTTATAGAGAAGCATGTAAAACTCGGCGACTGTTAGAAAATGATAATCATTAAAATGAAACTCTGAAAATAAGAGAACTTTACGCAACGCTTTTATCTTCTTGCGGTCTTTCTCATCCTCAAACACATTGCGACCAGTACAAAGAATACATGGCGGAAGATATTTTACATGAATTGCAGCAAGTGCATTCAGATATGACTTTCACTGAACATATATTATATGTATATAAAAAAAATTGTAATTGAAAACAAGGTTTTAACAATGGCCGGAAAAAACCTAGATCACTTTGGAATTCAAATTCTTACACGAGGCAATGGAGATGATTTTAATAATGAAATTGGTTGAAAATTACAACATTAAATTACAGAGTTAATTCCAAAATTACTGAATTAAAATCATGTTTTCAATCAAATTCTAAGTAAAATAGAATCCACAAAGGAGCACTTTTCTTTCTCGACGCACCTGGAGGAACCGGAAAATCGTTTCTACTCAATTTATTATTAATGATGTCAGAAAAGACCAAAACATAGCAATAGCTGTTTTTTTTCCGGTATTGCCGCGACTCTATTGAACGGGGCCGTAAGGCACATATGTTTTAAAATTACCGTTGAATCTTTCTAAGGAGGATTCGTCAATCTGTAATTTTTGAAAAATAGCACGCGGGGTAAGATGCTGCAAGAATGGTAGCTTTTGTGGGATGAAAGTAAAATGTCTTACAAGTGGACTTTAGAAACCTTAAACCGGACCTTTCAAACCTACGAGACTGTACAGATATAATATGAGGAGTGGTAGTTTTATTGGCTGGTGGTCTCCGTCAAACTTTTCCAGTCATTCATAGGCGCACTACGGCACATTAACCTTTACTTATCATTAAGCTTGTGGGCACAAGTTGAAAAATTTAGTTTAAAACAAATATGAGGGTATATCTTCTTAATTAGGGAGATTCCGGCCTTTATGTAGAAATGTTGTTGAAAATCGGTGATGGTTGTCTAGACTTCGACAACAATTATTTTTTAACTTTCAAGAGAATTTTGCAATTTAGTAGAAAACGATGTTGATCTCATTTCTCATGTTTTTCCGGAATTGAAAAAAATTTTTAGTAGTGATCAACTGAAGTGATTAATAGAATCAATACTGAAATTTTGAAGGAAGTGCAGGGGAAAATGAAGGAGTATTTGTCGATGGATACAGTCATAGAAATATAATTAAGTACTTCATTACCTATGAGGGTTTAAATTTATTTGAACTATCAGTGTTATGTCACATAAATTGAAACTAAATGTACCAATAAAGCTTTTGAGTCATCTAGATGCTCCGAGGTTATGTGATGGAACAAGGCTTCGAATTACAAAATTGGAACAAAATATCTTTCAGCCACTATATTAACAGGTGTCGTTAAGGGAAAAAGTGTAAACATTCCTCGGATACCAATTATTCCCTCTTACCTTTCATTTCAATTCAAAAGGGTTCGGTTTCACGTCCAGCTCATCTTTACTGTTGCTATAAACAAAGCACAAAGGCAGACATTGAAGGTAGCAGGGGTGCATCTAGAAAAGCCATGCTTCTCTCACACTCAACTATATGTGGCCTGTTCTAGAGTATCAAATGTCCGAAATTTGCACATTTGTGCACCGGAAGGTAAAACTTACAACATAGTATACAAATATTGTTGAACAATACTCTGTTGTAGTAAATTATTTCAATAAAGCAAGTCTCATTGCTTTTTTTTATTGAATGATTCTTGATATTTATTGAAGAGATTCAGTGTGAGCAAACCCGCGGATAAAGCTAGTTTATTTAGAAGTGAATATATTTTTCAGTTTATCTGTTTTTATTATACATATAATATAGTTTATTAGAAACATTTACGCTTGAATTAATGAATATTCTAATATTTTTTCAAGGGATCGCCATCGATCAAAGGTGAGAAGCGGTCGGATACCATCGCTAGATTTTATTTCGGCATTCTGTATTCAAACCATTATCTGTAAATATAAAAGTTACGTGTTACGGTTTGTCCGGCGTAAACTCTTAAACTATTTTTACTAAAATTTAGCACATTGGGTCCAGTCTAATCCAAATTAAAAAGTAGAATAGTTTATATCTCAATTATGTTGTAAGTCGAAATTGGCAAATATTTGTATCAATCATGTTCAAAATTAAACCAAGTGCAATCCCTTGCATTCTTGCTGGCAATGCCGTTTGCGTCTTTACCCCGCAATAATATTTGCATTGTACTGAATAGCTTATTATGATATTTGTGAATGTATACGCGTGGCTGGATCTACTAGTATGTGATACAAAATCAAATTAAGTTTTACGAAATTAATTATATTGTATTTTCAACAACACAGGAAAATAAACTAACTTGTATTATAAATATTTAGTAACTTTGTTTGTTTGTTCACCTTAAAGTATTATCTGCGGAGTTCTACATAAGATTTTGATAAAAATAGTTCAATTTCATATCTACAGTAAATATTGCTTTACAATACAGTGTACAGGGTGCAATTTGTATTAATAAAACTAAAATATATCTCTACCGTAAAAACGAAAAAGCTCATCGGGTCTTTATAAACTTTTACATGGGTACTATCCATACAACCTGGGAGATCCGGTTTTTTACTTAGAAAGAAGTAAATTCTTGGTAAAAAACATATGTTTATTTTAGAAGTATATAACATGTGACGTTCTAGAGTCGTTCAGATCTAAAATTGCACCTTTATATAATAGATATTAAACTATGTATAATTACACTCTCGCATCCTGACGGAGATAAAGCGGGTTATTGTGACTCCTTCTATAAGTATAATATAACACGAAAATCATTATTTTTGGTATATGATGATTTTTCTGTGCCAAGAGAATTGGAATGGTATGAAATTTGGTTACAATTTGTTCAGTTGTTTGACTTTTATCTAGAAAATTTTACCTACAAGTGGACGGTACAAGCCGATTACAAAACTTTTTCCACAAAGCTACAAACCTGTTGCGCTATTTAGAATTTCAATTTTACCGTGAATTATCATTTAGACAAATATTTTTTGTTTTGATTTTGACGAATAGGCAGACAAACACCGCAACATCGCAAATTTAAATAGTCCCCTCATACCGTATTTTAAGATATTTGGTATATACAAGTACAGATTGGTTGAAAAGTTTCTACGCTCGAAATGAAAAATTACTGTTTTAGGTATGAAATATATTTTTTTATTAAATATAACTCTCTTAATTTCAATACACTTATTCCAATGATCCTCCAATAATTTTATTCCGTTCTTATAATGACTTTCCGGAAGCTCTGCAAAATACCCGTCTACGGTTGTAATAGCTTCTTCATTCGACGAAAAACGAAGGAATTGTTTCAGGTTTCTAAAGAGGTAGTAGCCGCTCGAAGCCGAATCGGGTGAATACGGTGGATGCTCAAGCAATTCGTACTTCAATACGTTGAATTTGTCATTGTTAAAACACCTTTGTGAGCAAGTACATTACTTCGATGAAAAAATATTTTTTGTGCTGCAAGCCAGGTCTTTTTTCACGAATCTTTTCATCCAGCTGATCCAAAAGGCTGCAATAATATTCAGAGTTGATTGTTTTACCTTTCTGCAGGTAATCAATCAACAAAATTTCTTCAGCATCCCAAAAAACTGGTGCCATAACCTTCTTTGCTGATCGTTTTGACTTCACCTGCTTTGGAGCTGAACAACCAGCTTCAGTCAACTGTAAACGTTCTTGTTTCAATTAAGGATCATTGTGGTAGATCCAAGTCTCATCCATAGTTATAAAAAGATGCTTAAAACGCTCCAAATTATGCTGAGAAATATTTTTCGATCTAATTTTTGTTGAATTGTTAACGTGTGCGGCACTAACTTTCCAAACGGCTTTTTCATATGTAATTCTCCACGTAAAATAATATATGAAGTACTCATTCGTCTCAGAAGCGTATGGCAATAGCAATTTCATGCTTAGTCAAACTTAGATCTTCACTAACAATATTATGAACTTGCTCAATGATTTCTTGTGTGGTTGCAGTTTTTCGTCGTCTTTCACTGTTGAAAGTGTGATGTGCTCGATATTCGAAAAATATGGCACAAGCCATCCCACGCTTTTCTCATAATAATAAAAATATGTTTTGGTCAATATTTCTGTTAGTTTATATAAGGAATTATTTTTCACTTTTTAGTTTGAAGTGGTTTAAAAGAGTGTTTTTTAGTTGTTAAAACTATACTTATTTTTCATTTTTTAGTTTAATGTGCTTTAAAAGTATGTTTTTTAGTACTTTAAACCATACTTATTATTTAGCCACAAGTAGTTTTTCACTTTATTTAAGGATGTGTTTGAGTAAATTTGTTATTCAAATGACAGCATAGATTGTTGATGCTTTTTGCTGCATAGCTTTAGGGGCATTTTTGGAGTACATGCTTGTATTTGGATAGTACCTGCCCTAAGCTTCATAGTTGTATAGTCGTTGTATGATTTCGTCCATTTTCAAAGTGTGTGATAGGAATGGCTGTGTAACCTCACATACCAAATTTGGTTGACATTAGTTCGATAGTTTCTGAGATATAGGATTTCACCAAAAGGTTGGTGGTACCACATCCATTTAGTAATTTTCACACCTCCTCCTATAAAGCTCTTCCCTACCATCTTGTTTGTGAAATTTAATGCTTATGGCGCATTTATTTCGTCAGTTATCGCACTTTTAGTATATTTTAACATAACTGGGGAGTGGGCGTGGTTATTATCTGATTTTGCCCACTTTCACAGCGTATGAAAAAGGGCTAAAAGGACTTCTTCTCAAATTTGGTTGAGTTAGCTTTACCGGTTTGGAAGATATATACATTAAACCATTTAGGGGGCGGGTTTACGCCCACCTTTAAATCAATGGAAAACTGTTATCAAATTATTGCATTGCCATCGGTCCTTTACACGTCTGCAACGTTTCAAGTTGATTAGACCTTTGGAAACTGGTGAGCTCTTGAGCTCTAAGATTCCATTACATACATACAACCTAAGCTAATAAAACCGTATTAAAAAAAGAATTAATTAACAGAATGACTTGTAACTTTCAATGACTACTCAAGACGGATGTACTAACAAAATAAAAAAAATTTTAAGCTAGTAGTACTATTTTTTGGGGAGCTCTACTTACTTTTCAATCAACCTGTATGTATGTACTTGTATATCCCGTAGGTTGGCTAAATTTTACACAAGCAAGCGATTTTTTCGAAACCACGTTATTTTTATAAGAAGCTTTGATTAAACGCCTATCATACGCTTTATGTACTTGTAGATATGTATATGAATACACATAAACGATTTACACGTATATAAATATCCTGTTATGCAGCATAAAATTATGGGAGATAGGAAAAAACTAC